TTTACATGGTTTTCAGGGATTTTTGTTCTCAAATCAAAATTAAGAAACAAACAGAATCATTTAAATCAGTTTATCCGGTGTAAAAATGTTCTAAGATCCTTCAAAATCACAGAAAAACGAGGGTATGGAAATGCATCGAATGCACTGTGAATTTACATGATTTTGAGTGGATTTTCTCGTTTTTAAACAACATTTTCGCTCAAAATCAGTGAAAAATCAATAAAATAACAGCTATAACTATTTCGGGCGGTTATTTTCAGTTCAAAAGTTCAAAAGTCTGTTATGATTAGGTTTGTCTAGCCCCAAGCGAAATAAACAAACCTCTCCAGTCTGCTGCTTTCTTCTTCGCTTTTTTCCTCCACCTCCTGAATCCGTGACGCCTTCCGGTGAATCTTCTGCTCCACCAGCAGCTGTCGATGCGGACGAGATGACTCCTTCGGTCAGTGTGGGCAACTCCTTTAAAATGTTCACAATCTGCTCCATACTTTTGCGGATGCTGCTCTGTGTCTATGTTTACTTTTTGGTTGGTTGGTGGGACTCGTGCGAAACGATTCGGAGCACAAAAAAAAGAGAGAAAACACTATTTTCTGAGACTTTTGGTGAGTCGTTTTGAGGGGGAAAAAATGGAAGTTTTTTTTTTTGATTTTTTTACAAATCGAAAGGGAAAGTGACACTTTCACAGTTGGAAGTCGTTGTCACTTCCACGGAAAACAAGGCAATTAATTTTTTCGAATTTCGGGCACTAAAAACATGCGTAATGCAATTTTGAAAAAAAAATTAAGATTAGAGCGCACTTGCCTTCTGGTATCCTGAGAATATCGACAGCTTTCGCATCGTTGTTCGCAACATCTCTTCTCCATAGACTCTGAAAATAGGAGGACGTTTCCGGGGAAGGAAAAACAACAAAATGATTCAGAAAAATGGGAAAAAAATGAAAGAAAGCATTGCCCACGGTGAATTTTTTGTACGTGTTTTCAAAAGGTTTCGTTCGCGGGTTCTGTCTTACTGTAGGGTCGCATGCTAACTGCGTGGCGACTCAGCGATACGTAGGATTTTTTCTCATTTTGTTGAAAAAAAATCAAAGTAGCAATTTTTCCGGCCCAAAACTTAAAATTTAGTAAAAATTGAATGGAATTGTTTCAGAAAAATGAGTCAACGTTATGAAATATAAAAGATAAGAAACCGAGACGGGTATACAGAAAAAAGAGTTCGGTTTTTGAGTCATGTATGGGAAGAGAGAAGACGACGGCAATGTTTGTTCTTCCTATTTCCTTTTCAGGTTCCCATACCCTTATACTTATATATTTTTTTAATTGCATCGGTTTCTTTTGATGGGTGGTAAGAAATTCTGAGAAAATTTTGGAGTTTTTCAGAGGGAATGGTGGGAAGATTCTGGAAAAAAAAGATGTTTCTTCGGGAAATTTTAGGTCTAAAAATTTTAGGCCCTAAATTTTTTTTCCATTATTTTCAAAATTCTGAACTCAAAATAGGGCAAATAGTCAACAGCTATGGGGGTGATCAACTGTTATATTTTGCTCTTCTGCTATGGATCAACTGCTATAGCCATAGCAGTTGAGACACTAGCAGTTGATCACCCCCCATAGTAGTTGAGAAATAGCAATAGAGATACATAGCAGTTGAGTATCCACCTCAAAATAGTGATTTTTGAAAAATTAAACTCGTTGAATTTCAAATTTTCCGGTAGTTCTGTAGATATCGCGCTCAACTGATAATGCCGTCAGCCACGTTGAGAAAACTAGGCCACGGCGGTATTTTGCTGATTTTCCAGAGTTTCTCTGTTTTCTACCGAAGCGCCGTAAGCGCGCACCGAAAAATATTCAGGTAGATACTCAACTGCTATTGGGGGTGATCAACTGCTATTTTGTAACCGCTAGTGTCTCAACTGCTATATTTGGCTCTTCTGCTATGGATCAACTGCTATGGTTATAGCAGTTGATCCATAGCAAAAGAGTCAAATATAGCAGTTGAGTATTTGCCAAATATTGAGGCTCTCGGATTTCGAAATTTCGAATTGCCGCCAGATCCGAAGCACAGATAATATGTTTTTCACTAATCAACTTGAATTTCACAAGGTGAGTGCCTTCTTGTTCAACAATGACTTGAAATGAACTTTCAAAACCTGCCGAAGCGCCGCAGGCGCGCAACAAACAAAATTTCCAAAAAATTTGAATTTCCGCCGCTTCTGAAGCGCCAACTGCGGCTTATACAAAAAACTAGAAAACTTGCCAAAGCACCGTAGGCGCGCATTATCAAACTTCAAAAATATTTTGAATTCCCGCCACTCCCGAAATTCTGAAAAAAAACTCCAAGAAATTCCCAAAAAAATAAGAACGAAAAGTCACGAAAAAAAAAACATGAAAACGAGATGGAAACCAATATTTTATGGACACTCTCCTCTCACCCCCTCTCCATTTCCCTCTTTCTTTTTTTTCTACACATATACATCTGTCATATACAACAACCATATAAATATATGTACAACACAATCGTTTTTCAAAAAAAAAGAACAAAAAAAATGGAGAAACGGGAGTCAGAAAAAGTGCGTGGGACTGATGGGGGTAGACATAGATGAATGAAATGATGAGGGGATGAATGGAGCCAATGAAGGGTTATTGACCGGAAAAGGGGAGACTAGACTTTTTTTAGTGGTTACAAGTACAAATCAGGGCTGACAAAATGGCAGCCGCGGCCGAAGTCGTGTTTTTAGATTTTGTTATTCCGCTGCTCGGAAGTTACGGTGGCCTAGCCTTCCACGGCTCCAGGCCACGTAAGCCGCGGCCGCCGTTTTGACAGCCTTGGTACAAATTGGCTAGCAGGAACAGAAATTGAGAAGAACTGCTTGAACTTTGAGGCCAACTGTGTGTTCAGAGCGGCATAGCTCGGTCGCTATTGGATATTTCAAAAAATGATCAACTATTAAAATTTTACCCAATTAATTTTAAACGTTTTATTAGTTGACCACTTTTTGATAGCTCTAAAGACAATTGAGATATGCTGCTCTGAAATACGGCGCTCTTTCGAAAATACTGTGGCCCTCCTGGCAAGCTCGGTTTCGAGATGACGAGTTTTTTAATGTTCTTGAGCGCTATGAATTTTGCTGGCTCGATTTTCTTCTGGTTACGGTGTTTGAGGACTCGGCTCCAAATCTGATCAAAGTCTAATAACCGCCGGTTACTTCCAAACAGATGAAATGTCGTCAAATTTGATGTCAGTGACACATACAACTCTAAAATGTGAGATAACAGGAACTGGCGTAAAATAC